TTCATTGATTGAAAATTCAATAAATACAAGTTTATGCCTAGGATCAAGTATTGTCGCAATATAAATCAACTTATTCATTTTCTTAATATCCCCCAATACTTCTCAAACTTTTCTTTCATTTTATTGGCCAACGTAAAATCATCTAAATCCCCACTTCGTTGCCATTTTTTAAAAACATATTCGAGAGCATAAATCTCTTCAAAATAAATATTTGAAGTCACATACAAAGAACCCGAAATACGCAAAGTGAGATTGTAAAAAATTTTCAACATGCCTACCAACTTCTTACAAGACTTCCAATCATCAACATTAGGTGGCCCAACAACATTATCACCATGCTCTACATCAAATTCACTCCTATATAAAGGATCAATTTGCTCATATCCCTTAAAAGCTCTCTCAAACTTTAAAGTCGACTCTAACATCAAGTATGTTGAATTTCACCTAGTACCAACATCTAGTTGTAACAAACTCCTAGAATCAATTTTCTCAAGTTGTATGCATTCCTTAAATCTTTTCAACCTAGCTGCAGATTGCCTCACAAACCTAACGGCCGATCAAATACGAACGATTGAAGAGTTAAAATGTTTTAACCCATCAACAACAACTAGATTCAAAGTATGTGCCATACACCTCATATGAATGAATTCACCATCTAAGATGCTATAACCCCAATTCTTAATCACATCTTTTAAGTGCCTAATTGCCACATCATTCGAACTCGCATTATCAACCGTAATACTAAAAACCTTCTCAATTCCCCAATCAATCAAGCATTTCTCAATGGCAATACCTAAATCTACTCCCTTATGACTATCAATCGGATAAAAATTCAAGATCTTTTTATGCAACTTTCAATCATTATCAATAAAATGAGCCGTTAAACACATGTAATTGATTCTTTGAATAGATGTTTATGTGTCCGTAGTAAGGCTAATTCTTTGACTATTTTGTTTCAAAAATTACTCCAACTTTATTTTCTCATCTAGATAAATTTGATAGCAATCTCTTGAAATTGTAAAACGAGATGGAATCTTGAATCTAGGTTGCAAATTAGACAAAAACTTTTTGAATCCCCTACCCTCTATATGCTTAAATGGAAGCTCATCTAGAATGATCATTTCAGCTAAATCTTTTCTACTAACATTTTGATCAAACTTCCATGTGATAAGATTGCTTTCTCCCGCTTCAAGCTTTCTTAGGTCTAATTGAGTTTGGGTAGAGTCAATACAACTAAAAGGGTTTTTTTTGCAAGTCAAAACATGAGACCTAAGTAAAGTTGTCCCATTTTTTGAAGGATCACAAGCAAATACCTTATCACAATAGTTACATTTAGCCTTCATGTTTTTCTTGTCATCTTCAAACTTTGTGAAATGATCCCACACCATCGATCTTGGCTTTATTGATTTCCTCTTCTTTCCTTTGCCACTCGTCTTGAGTGTTACTTGGAGTTGCACTTAATTGTGGATTAGGATTGCTTAAATCCACGGTTTCATAATTCATCTATATGGATTGAGAGTGCAACATCTACATAAGAACATAAGAAAAAGAGTATTAAGCTTCATAGTTCACACTCTTTAGTCCTTAAGCTTAAGCCAAAAAAAAAAAAAAAAACAATCTAGCTAGGCGGGAGGCACCAAGGCGAGTAGGCTTTCATAAAAATTCTCGTAGAATCGAGAATGAAGTTTTCATTATTTACATGCCGGATCATGAATTAGTAACTACATCTAATCTCTAAAAAAATCCCAATTGTTTCGAACTTTCTCTCGTTTTTTTTTTTTAGAATGGAATATTTACGGAATCCCCATAAATAGGATCAAACCTTATTCCATATTTCCATGGTATTTACCTCTTTCTTATTCTTAAGCAAGTCTCCGAGAGGGCTTAATTGATCCATGATTTATGTTTCATCTTTCATTTTCTTTTCATTTGTTTCGAGAAATATAGCGATCCTTGCCTCCTTGGATTGTTGAGAACGGTCTTACTTTCCTAGTTTGTACAAGTCTTTTTATTTTACTAATTACTATTATTCTAGATACAACATGCCAACATGGTATGGGATTATTTGGACTACAAGAGCAAACCATATTACGGAGCAAGATTTGGTAAGTAACGGTCAACAAATTGGAATTCATTTATCAACATATTTTTTTCTTCCATTTGAATTCATTTCAATAATTTCAAGGACTTATGTAAAATTGTATAACTTGTATTTGCTAGAATATATACAAGTGAGCGATAACGATGAGGCCTACCGCCTATCGGCTATCACGGTTGGCCTACCGCCAACGACCGGTAGGCCTACTCGTCTCGCTAGCGGTTGGCCGACCGGCTGCCGGCGATAGGCCAACCGTCGGCAAGCTAGTAGGCGATCTGCAGTAGGCCTCATCGCCATCGCTCACTTCATTCACTTGTAATCTTGTATAGTTGTATTAGTCATTTAGTTGTATACTTATATATATTCTAGCAAACACAAGTTATACAACTTTATATAAGTCCTTGAATTACTCAATCTCAATTCACTAGTCGGTATTCGGTAAGGCACGGGGAAAGTAACGAAGTTCTTCCAACTCCAAACATTACAACATTACAATTTACAAGTTTACAGCAGAGATATTGTAGAGAATAATCGGAATATGCCCACAAGTCCACAACAATACAACATTACAATAGAAACATTATAAAGAATTCAAAATATGTCCACAACACAAGTCCACAACATTACAAGTTACAACGAGAGAACTCTTTAGTCTTTCCAACTCCAAACAAGTAAACAATCGATCGAACCGAGTATAATAGTACATTAGTACTCGCCAAATCCGAGAGTGAGAGAGATCAAGAGAGAACGCCCGGACGGCGGCGAGGGACTTAAGGCCTATGCAGCGACGAGCGAGGCAACGACGGACGGCAGTGAGGCAACGAGGGAGCGATAGCGACTCGGCGAGGCAACGGGCCAACGAGCAGCGAGACGACGACGGCTGGTAGCAAGGGACTTAGGGAATAGGGAGTTAGGGTTAGGGATTTGTCGATTTAGTTATTTGGAATTGGAAATGAGAAGAGAAATGAAAAAATGGTAAAACACCGAAACGGAATCGAAATTTAGAATAGAAATAAGTCAAATAACTCAAATAAGGAATAAATTTTGGTTTTCGGGTTGAACCAAAAATTTTTTTAAAAAACCAAATCGAAACGAAATAAATTTCGGTTTTTCGGTTCGGTTATAAATAGTAAATTTTAAATTCAAAACCGAACCAAATATCTTAATACGGTTCGTTTGATTCGATTTTCGATTAACCGAACCGTTTGCACACCCCTAATAGTTACTTACCCATAGTTAATACGAGTATAACATAAAAGAAAAACAAATAAAGTACTAAAAAAATCATTTCACAAAAAAAAAAAAATCTATATAAATTGGGAATTTAAAAATAAATAAATAGAAAGTATTGTTTCGATGAACTTTGTATCGTTGTGAGAGTTGTCCATTGATGATGTTAGAATTTAGTAGCTAAAGAAAGTAAACCTAAAAGAAATTAATATTATTATTTGATTATTGTGACTTGGTGTTGTTGGGATTGTATTAAGAATATGTTTAAAAAGAAAAAAAAAAAACAAAGAAAAAGATGGTGGAAGGACATTGAAGATTCGAAAGAATAAGGAAGTCAAAAGATAAAATACTTAGTGAGAGGAGGGATATTATTGTGTAGTATAGCTTAGATTGAGTTAATATTTGTTAACAACCTATTAATTTTACTAGTCAAAAGTTTTTTAGATGGCCAATCACAAAATTTCTCTTATTTTTTATACCAACATATTAAATATACATTATATAAGAAACTTTTGTTTTTTTTTTTCAAAAAGTTTGGTGGAGCCATGGCCCATGCATGCACTCATAGTCCTCCGCCCTTGCTTGAATTGTCGTTCCGTACAAGATACTCGAACTAACGTACTTTATTCATTAAAAGAAGGAAAGGAAGCAGCTTACTTTCTTATGAAGCATTATCTGCAATTCTACCTTCCGAAAAAATGTGTAAAGGTAATTAAATCATTTAAATTAAAGAAATTAAGGCTAATTAATTAATCACTTTAATTTGTTTTTGGAAGGCCGAAAAAACCGGCACAGAATCGGAAATAACAGCATATCAATCACAATAAAAATGAAACTGCCAACGTAGCTATTAGGAATCATCATAGTCTCTCATAGTCCCATATATATATATATATATCCCAAGAAATTCGAAAGACAGTTGATGTTAATTATCTTGCCGAAAAAGTGTTGATAACTCATTTTATTCTTTGGATTTTTCTTTTCAAAAAGACCCGTTTTTTAAGCTAACTAATAACAAAATCATATCACCATATCTCAACTAAAATTGGTAAGTAGAATAAATCGATCGTCCATGGTGAGAGACACCTAATTTATATCCAACAATATTAAACCAAATAAAATGATTAATATGGTAGCTTGATTTGGATTGATTTATAATGTCTTTTTCTTTTTTTTTCAAAGATAAGAATATTCTTAAACTAGCTTGCTCGTAGAGAAAAATTAAATTCTTCTCCGATCTTAATATCGCAACCTCCACATATATCTGTATTTAACGATATTGTCAAAGAAGCTTAATTATTTGATTTTATATATGATAGGCTAATTACTTAGATTATATTTATGGTCATATGGATAAGGTTTAAGCATAATATTAGACAAAAGAATTACATTCCCACGTAATCTCTATTTTAAGATGATCAGAGAAATAATTCGTATCCATATGTAGATATAATTAAGCAACAAATACGGATAGATATTTATTTATTTATTTATAATTTTTATACAACGATATTATCTACAATATCTCCAAGAATATCTTTGTTTCTTATATATATATAAGGGTCTCCTGTGAGAGAGTTTTATGTACTATTGTTATCCTTCTACAAAAGATACTCTTAGCTAGTTTGACAGAAATTGAGGTTCTTTAAAATTAATTAAGATATTGCAGAAGATGACGATTACCTCTAGCCCATTGGTCGTGTCTTTTGGAGAGATGCTCATTGATTTTGTGCCTGATGTTGCTGGAGTTTCCTTGGCTGAGTCTAGTGGCTTCATCAAAGCACCTGGTGGCGCGCCTGCTAATGTTGCTTGTGCCATCACTAAGCTTGGTGGTAAATCTGCCTTCATTGGCAAGGTATGTTTCTTGCTCTTAGCTCGTCTGCGCATGAGCAGTCAGATCATGAGATCTACTAATTTTCATGGATCTACCGTTAATTTTTTTTATGTTCTTAATGTTGTAGGTTGGAGATGACGAGTTTGGCCACATGCTAGTTGGTATCTTGAAGAAGAATGGTGTGAACAGTGAAGGAGTGTGCTATGATGAACATGCCAGAACTGCATTGGCATTTGTGACATTGAAGAAGAATGGAGAGAGGGAGTTCATGTTCTACAGAAACCCTAGTGCTGATATGCTACTGAAGGAATCTGAGTTGAAGATGGATCTCATTAAGCAGGCCAAGGTATTCCATTACGGATCTATAAGTTTGATATCTGAGCCATGCAGATCGGCTCACTTGGCAGCCATGAAAGCCGCCAGAGCAGCTGGCGTATTGCTTTCTTACGATCCAAATGTCAGGCTGCCTCTGTGGCCGTCTGCTGATGCTGCTAGAGATGGGATCAAGAGCATCTGGAATGAAGCTGATTTCATCAAGGTAAATTTACCTAAAATTTGTTCTTGATAAAATCCGGAGTTACAGGCATTATAAAATCCACTCACAGCGTAAAAAGTTTTGGCCAATTTTTTTTTTTTTTTTTTGGAACATGGGGTCGAAAGCAAATTCTCAAAATGATTTTGTGTTTTGAACTAGGTATGGATGGTTTAGCTGAAGAAAATCAATTATATTCCCTTTGATTAGCCCAGATCTTGATTGGCCAATCTTCTTTTAATTACTTTTATGATCTTGGATAGAGTTGTTGTTATGGTTAGAGATGATATGACGCATATATACTGATTATTAATTAATCTTGCGTTCGCTATAATATTATTGTTAAAAAAACTAATAAAGATATTCATGTAGTAAGGAATATAACTAGTTAAATAATGTGATTTATTTGGATGATTTTTTTATTTTTTGAATTTAGTAAGTGTTGAAATAAGTCATCTTATTAGCTTTGAATGTTTCTTTTTCTTTTTTCCAAGTGAATTGAATTTCTTGCTGTTAATGATCATGCACGCAGGTTAGTGATGATGAGGTAGCATTCCTGACACAAAAGGATCCCGAAAAGGAAGATGTGGTTCTGTCCCTCTGGCACGATCGCCTCAAGCTACTTATTGTCACTGATGGAGAGAAGGGTTGCAGATACTTCACTAAGGCAAGGAACTATTTTTCTCTTCTTTGTCTACTTTGGTTTGTATTTAATATTTGCTTGAATGATTATAATTCATGACTAAATTCTTCAAGGTATTTCCGTTTTTGTCTCTTTCGTTTGAAAACACTTGGCTTTGACAATGTGCAGAGTTTCAAAGGGAAAGTGCCTGGGTTTTCAGTGAAAACAGTTGATACTACTGGAGCTGGTGATGCTTTTGTTGGTTCACTTCTGGTTTCTGTAGCCAAAGATACTTCAATTTTTGATGTACTTTCGTTGCCTTTGCTCTTTCTCGTTTTGCATTACCTTTCTTCTTCTCCTATTTCTGTTTGTCTGAGAATGAGATTTCTTGCGATTCAATTATGTTTGCATTTGGTATTGCAGGATGAAAAGAAATTGAGGGAGGCTTTGACATTTGCAAATGCATGTGGAGCCATTTGTACAACTCAAAAAGGAGCAATTCCAGCCCTTCCTTCTAGTTCTGATGCTCTTGCACTCGTCAAGTCCAAGGCCAACTAGATGTCATAGTCCCTTATTTTCTTCCCTCCAAAACTTTTGTCCAGGACACTTGGTGCATGTTTTCTTTTCTTGTTGGAATTTTGGTTCTCTCTGTATTTCCTGTTAATTGTACTCAAGTGACATTGCTGTTCATATATTTAAAAATTTGCCGTCCGTTGGTTTTAATAACCAAGACAGAAGTTCTGGTGTTTAATTTCCTAAATTGGCTATCCTTTCTCTCAACCTTTCACCAGTAAAGTGTAAGGCTGAATTATTTTTCATTTGGGGCATGATTTATTAGAGAGGTTACCTAGAAGGCAAGAACACCCCCTTCATCCTTCCCATGCCCCATCTCTAGAATGAGTGGGACACTGCTCGGTGAAATCTAGTAGTACATTTCGTGAAGCCCAATCTCATATATGGCGTTGTACTACAGCAACTGATGTTTAAAGGGAAAGGCTCAAACCATCTTTCTTTTAGGACAGAAGGGCAGGGTACTAGCTGATCATTGGCTAAGCTCTTACAAGCATTATACAAAATGCAAAAGTTGTTTCAGTTCCAAGGAGCATTCAAGATTTCATGAAATGGCAAAAGGAAGAACACCCAGATGTGAAAATTAAAAAAATAAAAGTGATTCCTTTCTTTCCAGGTTATGATAAATAATTCAATCAAGGCAAAGTTGATTGATCAAATATACAGAGTTCTGCACAGGAAAATACCTAAGCAGTGCAACAGAGAGGTCACCCGGCTCATATGGTGGCAGTTCAATAAGAGAGCGGTTATATACATGAAAAATAGAAAACCATTGTGAATCTAGTGCATTATTGCACATTTAAATTCCACATTGAGCTTTAAAACAGGCAAAATTCTGCATTTACTTTCTCAGAAAAGTACTAAATAAAACCATAGAACCTGCCAATTGGGGTGTAGCCAAATATGACTTGATCAGACGAGAGCCCTGAGAATTGTTGTACCCAAATATGAATCTCCACTCGCAACGCATCAGCATAGGAACCAAACAGAAAGGGTTAAAGAAGAAAAGCAAAACAAAAATACAAAATAGCAACCACAGAGTTAGCAGGAAAGAACTACCAATAGAACAAGTTACAGAGAGAGAACAATAGGGGATGGATAATAATTTGTCGCACGTTTAGTGTGGATAAAAGAGATCTCTAGCTGGACCTTTTTTGAGAAATCAATTCCCAAGAGGGAATTCTTTGGTGTATCTGAAACTGACTTGGTAGCCGGCCAACTTGGTTTGGGAACCTAAACAACAATTTAAAAAAAAAAATGGCAGTATTTGGAACAAAAGGAACACCAGTTTGTGATTTAACTACCTCTCACAAGTCACAACCACATGCCAAATGCTTTGGAATTCAAGCAGCGCAGTCAGTAGAATGCATATTTGGCATTAAGCAAAAACGTCATATATCAAAGGAATAATTAGCTCTGGGGATGAGAAAAGAGATTTATCTTACCAATTTTTGGCTTGAATAGGCACCTTCAAAATCTTCTTCTTTGGCCAAGCACATATGCTGGAAAATACCAGAAATTCAATCACTAGTAAGTTGCTATCTGCTACATGTGCAATGGTGCACATGATGAAACAATAATTCAAAGCTCTGCTAGACCGCCTGAAAGTTTTAGCTTCTCCAGAGTATAGCAAAAGGGGTGATAGCAAATGCACATAAAAGAACTGCAATCATCCAACATAGCCAAAAATTGAAAAAGGAAACACGAATTAAAGTAGAAAATCAAAAAATTAGACGTTCTTAAAGAAAACGAATAGAACATATATACATGTCATACGTTTCTTTTTTTGTTTACATTCCTGTAGTCCATTGGACTTTTCAACTATAACCAATGCTGTTTTTACAAGGGATAATTACATCCAATCATAAGTGTGATAAAAAAGAGGAATTGTAACTACAAGTCAGCAATTATCTTTGTAGTAATGTTGAATGCTCATGGTTTTTTTATGAAAACATTTTGATTCTTGACACATGAGCTTTCTTCAGGATTTAAAGTATTTTATTTCTGATATTTCTCTTTCCACACCACGGCATCTCTGATTCAGCTTCCTGCAACTCCCCATCAGATCAGATGCCTCAGCATTGTCCAATTAAAGTTAAATAAGAGCGTCCAATTAGTCATCACCTACAAAACAAAAACTTAGCACAGGTCAACCAGAAAAATATCAAATAACATATATTAAAAACTAAGAAATATCATTTCCAACAAAGACCATTAATTGTCCCAAGGCAAGATACTGTTCCAAAAGAAAACCAAGGAAGCTAGTGATTAAATTAAATGTCCAAACCGCATCTTACAAGTCACTTTCAATCAACAGACTCAAATCTGGCAGGTTCTATCACACCATGCTTTATTAAATAACAGAAACTAGTTGAGTTAAAAGCATACAAATGGATGGAGTCAGGCAAGATTCCATTGGAAAGGAATTCTCAAACAGCAGTCTAACAAAAACAAAACAAAAGTTTGCAAGGTAAATTTTCAAAATGAATGTGAAATATTAAAATGCAGAAGAATCATAAGTTCAAATTAGATCTTAATTGGAACCAAGTAAAGATGCCCCAAACTCATTGTAGTTACTCCAGGCATAACAGTTCTTCACAAAGCAGTCCAAAGACGGAAAATCATTCTCAATGGTAAAAGCAAGTTAGTGTCCTGATATTCTTATTAATTACCTAAGTTCAATGTGTTTTCTATTTTCATTTTAATTTAATAAATAAGGAAAAGATGACACAAAAGCAAATGCTGCAGGTTAAAAGAAGTTATAATTTGATCTATCATTGCTGCTAACAACAATTAAATGACAACTCCAGCAGAAAAGGCAGAATAGACTGCTCGTATGTAATGCTAAAAACTTATCTTCATTGATACTAGGAATCATTCACAACCAGATCATACAAATCCTTTTAAGGAGTTAGACATCCAATCAGATGGACACCTAGAGAAGCTGCAGGCTCTTGCTATCCAATCTATTGTTCTATTAGCCTTTCTATTTCTACTACAACACTAATGGAAAACATTTGAGCAGTCCTAACATCCTCCACAATAGTTTTAACTTCCCAATCCTCTAGCTGTCCTGGTGCTGTATGACCTCTACTTCATTACATTCATCAGATTCAATGATGAAAGAGTAGTTAAAAAACAGTTCTCCTAGTTTGGGGGCCTCCCGGTTTGCTAAAACCTCGTGTTTCTGCACTGACCTGCACTTTGTTTCAGAACTGTCATCCAGCAGTCGACCAGCAGCATTCCTTCATAGAACTCCTATAGCAGAAAATTCTTGAAGAAGGCAGAAGGCTACAATCACAAATGATCTTAATCACATCCTTGGTGGGGAGCAACCATCAACTCAAATCCACTTCTATTATAAGTAGAGCAGTCCATCCGTTGTAATGACAAAGAGTTCTGTCTTAAATTCTCTGAACCCCAATTTGGCCTTCTCCATTGTTCTCGAGCACCAAATGCATTTACCCGAGAAAATGGCACTGTTTCTAGCTTTCAAAATCTCCCAGTAAAGAGACACACTTCTCCTGATTGCCCAGTTTTACCATTTTCCACCATACTCTAAAGCTGCTAAATTAAACCCCACACACTGGACAAGCAATTGCTTTAGATCCAACCAATTAAATACAAAATAAAAGGAATTGATGACTAAGCGTAGATGGCATCCATACCACCCCTATATGAACATTAACTTTGAAAATATGCGAAGGGTTTTCCTCATATGCACAGAATTTGTCTCTCACCATACCAGGTTCACTTTAGTAGGAATAGTACCGTAACCAGAATCCCAGCAACTACAAATATCTTATTACACAGTTAATCTCCACAGTTTGAAGATATAATCCATAACTTCTCCCTCAAAAAGTAGAACAACCAGAAGAGCATTCACTCAGTTCTCTATACATCACTCATTAATAGGTTGATGGGGATGACCTAAACTAAGATAACTGATGTTTCAGTAAAATACCCTAAACTAAGATAACTATTTTGGAGGTTGTTTTATTTAAATATTAGAATCCAAGGGTGTTTTAGTAATTTTCAGGTTTGCAGGAAAAGCTGGAAATTGTCTAAGTCAACGTTTTATTTTCTATTTAGTATTTTATTAGTCCTAAGGAGTAATTAGCTTTATTAGGTTTTTCTATTCTACAGACTTAATATTTCCTAATTTAGGAAGCTAAGTCCTTATTGAATTTGGACTACTAGAACTCTATAAATAAGCATGTAGCCTTTCAATATTTTGAATGACAGCTTATGAATAAAATTCCGCTTTGGATTGTGGGACTCAATCTCCTTTATGTGTGACTCCTAAGAACCCTAGGTGTCTTCTAGGTGTGACTCACAGAAGCCCTATTAGGGTGACTCTAATAGTTTATACAATTGCAGCAGAAATCCACATCAATAGACTTAAGCAGGCCTAAACAACCTCCAAAAGTCAGATTCAGAACAGCCCCTAAGCTACCCTGCATCATAGGTACTATGGACTTGAATGATAAATCCAAGCCAGCTTATCAGAAGGATAATGCATATACGAGGATAGTTGGCCAGTTGTCTGTGCTTCTTGAAAAAAAAAAAATTGATGCACCAAGTGATGTTTCTAGGCTGAATCAACTACGTTTTATGTCAAATAAGAATCAAGTAACAAAACTCAATGTAGTATATCAGGGGAAAGCTAGGTAAACCCAAAGATAGGACAAATATATACTATGCAATTTCCAGGAACAGCTCTTCTTCACAATGTCTCACACAGTTAGAACAATCCAATCATCCCTGGGCCAGTATTTCCTTGAAAAAGCGCCAAGTACTTCTAAGACAATAGCACCAGTCTGTCTGATGTAAAGAGAACTCAGCCTCTATTTCTTAATAGCCATGAAACTTCTTTTATTGTGCTCTAGTTTCTACTCTTTAGATAGCGCCTGTACTGTTAGAAGCATTCAACTCAAAGATGCCAAAATCAAATGGGTTAATTAACCAAGGAAACATAAAGAAATAAGCAAAAATAGAAAAATTAAAGAATATAATAAGTGCAAACTAAGATTAAAACCATTAGAATACCCTACCATTGGAAAGGAATTCTGAAACAGTAGTCTAACAATATTTATGCTAAAACCACAAAAGTAAAAACAAACAAATGTGAATATTAAATGCAGGAAGAATTACAAGCTCAAATTAACTCTTGATTGGAACTCAATTAGAGATCTCTCCAACTCATTTTAGTTACTCGATGCACGCATGAAAATCATTGACTAAGCAATCCAAGGACGTAACAACACTCTCAATAGTAATAGCAACATAGTAAGCACTAGCAACATATCTAAGTTCTATATGTTTTCTGTTTTCATTTGATATCAAGATTTAGGGAAAACATAGCACAAAAAAGCAAATGCAGCAGGTTAAAACAAGTTATCATTTGTTGGATCAGTGCCACTAACAAGAGTTAAATTGTAAGTAATCCAAACAATTAATTGACAAGTCCAGCTGATAAGGCAGAACAGACCAGTCGTATATATGCAATACTAAAACCTTAATAGTTATGGGAATCGCAAAAGATGCATGTTAAGATAGATGTGACCCCAATAGAACTAAAGGTGTGGACCTAAAACCAAAAAGAATCAAGTTAGAACCTTTTATGCATATTGACTACATGAAGCAGCAGCAAAGCAGAGGTTACGCATCCATTAACCAATCAAACAATAATTAGACAGATAAAGTAACTCGAATTGATATTGAATCATTCGTGCGTACCTGCAATTCCCTGAAATTGGCAAGCAAGCATCAAATCAATACCTGACTGAGATCTAGTATATATACTTAACAGAAAAATTTAAAAGTAAAAGCATCAAATTTAGCAATTATTAATAATTTTTGTTGGTTTTACGAAATTAACAGAATTTTGTGAATTAAATAGACGGTGATGCAGAATAGAATGAGGAAAATATCACCTAAGAGACATGAGAACACGCATCTTGCGTTGAGTTTGGGCTTCAAGAAAAGAAGGACTCGCCTCTAAAGCTTTCTTTTTCAAACAGAAATAACCCCATTCCTCGCCAATCGACTCCAACAACTCCTTCACGGCAGCAGCCACCGCTGGTGAAGGAGGAGGATCGCAATTGAATAAATTCACGAATTCCTCGTCATTAACTGCAATAACAGGCGGAGGAGTAGAGGAGGGAGAGAATAAAACGAAGTCGCAGGTGTGCTTTCGCTTTTTAGGTGCTGTGAGACGTTGTCTTTTCGGTGGCGGGGATGGAGAAGGAGTGAAAGTGCCTCGCTGCCTTCGACGCGAAGAAATAATCAAAGAAGGAGGTCTCGACGACATGATTGATATCCGTAAGTTCGTAGAAACCTAACCCTAACCGGCGGTTATATGGAAGGGATGATCGCACAAAACGGATTTCGAATGGTTGCGTTGACAGAAAGCTAATGAAAATGAAATACCAGTGGAGAAGGTGGGGCAGCCAAGTTTTTATACATTGCCCTTTTAAATGGCTAAAAATCGCAAGCAGTCCCTTTATTATTCAAATTGGATCAAATGAAACCCTCTAATTAGGACCAAAAAGAAGTGGCTTTGAGGGAAAAAAGAAAAAATTTTAATTCAAGGGATTAATTGGGTACTAATGTAAAATTCAATTGGAAAGTGTTTTCTGTTTGGGGATAAAATTGAGAATGGGATTATATAATCATGTCTTTTACTTCTTCTTTTTTCTTTTTCCTTAAAGCTTAAGCGAGGTATTTGAAAACGTTGTATTTTTTTGTTTGAAAATTTTATTCTAAAAAAAAACATTAATTCAATAAAATTTTATTCACAATCTTTCCTTAGTTATTCATTAATTAAAATGAACTATTTAATAAATCTCTAACTATTGAATAATTTAGAACAAGCTATTTAGATTTAATTCAATAATAGCATTAAAGCTTAGAAAGATAGGTAAAGCTAGACAATTTACATAGGAGCCAAGAGAATTTAATCTAATTTTATGTTCTTCGAGGAATTAAATGAAAACTTATCCATAATCATTAATCCGTAGTTAATACCATAAGTAAAATTAGCAAGTAATTATTGACTTGTATTCTTAACTAGCAATAGATTATATAGATCAATCCATTGGTATGCACTCTAATCAATCAATCAATCAACATAATCATATTCAATGATAATGAAAAAACATAAAATAGCTAAAAAGAATTATATTAGAAGTAGAATCCGTTTAGATCTCACAATGATTTAACCAAAGCTTCAACTTTCTCCTTCAACCAGGCAAGATTATTTAGAATTGCATATTTTTTGTTACAAAAGCTAGGTTTTTTCTTTTATGGTCGCATATATCAATATAGAACCCTAACTCCTCTTTTATATTTATACAATGTATGCAAAAGTAGGGTTCGACACACACATAGCCATCTCACTTGGACACCTATCATGGCACGCTACTTACTTGATTGAGGCATATGGCTTTCTTACTTGGACACCTATCATGGCACACTCGCTTACTTGATCGAGGCATATGGCTTTCTCTTTGGAAACACATAGTTTGCTCTTGGGAGACACATGGTTTAAAGCCTTGTATAGTTTGTGGCACACAAGCATGCCTAATTAAGGCACACAATCGTGTCACTTTTGTACTCTATCTCATGTCTTTCGACTTCTACCCATGTGTATTTCTTTCTCCCTTGAATGATAACCCAGTAATGACACACACAAGCGTGTTATTTCTTCAACGACAAGCCATGCTAGTGCTTTTTGCTCATGTATCTTCTTATGTTTGAGCAAAGACACGATTTAGCTCTTAGTTACGCACGACTAGGGGACTTTTCCTCTTGCAAGACACACGATCGTGTGTCTCCTTCATTCATGCATGGCTTTGCATGTTTTCTCCATTAGGTTCTTCATGGGTTTGGGCTTTTGATTGGACTTAGACTACATGTGCATCTTGGCTTGGGTTTATTCACTTTGATCGTTATTTTTCCCGCAAAATCCAAAATCATTATCCGGTTTTTAATTAGCTTATTATAATACATAAAGTACTAATAAGTGTAATGTAAAAGGGAATAACAACTATATAAATTATGCACCGATCAATTACCATTAGAGGAACTTATTGATTATCTTTGAAATATCTTTATATATATATATATATATATATATATATATATATATGGTTCAAGTGAAGACTTACTATAGAAGCTACACAACTCTAGGAAATAAAATAAGTATCTCCTTTAGTTTTCCTTCTTCTTTTTTAGGAGCTAGTAGAGTGAATGGCAGCCTTTTTCTCTTGACTAAAATCAAGTGACTTTCCAACACATTACGGTGGTTTCGGTTATTCTACAATAGATTAACACCAAGAAACATTTTTTCACTCTTTCTATTTTTTAATATAATCTCTTTATTTTTTATTTGTTTATTTACCATGTTTTTATATTCTTAATGTGGTCTCTCGTATAGCTCTCCCACTATTTTTTCAATCAAAAGTGACATGTAGTGAAAAAACACGTACGTGTTTATGACATGTTAGATATACTTATCATGTAAAAAAATATCATATGTCATGACATGTCAAATCAATTATTTTCTAACTTTAATTACGGATATTAAATTGAACATGATTTAAACTATAAATGGTAAACTTTAAACATGTCATCTTATGACCAACGTCCGTTTCTCTCACAATACTTTACTCGAAAAAACTTGCGTTATCTTTGATCTATTTTGTCACATAAATTAACCTTTATTTTTATCATGATTTACTATAGAGAGAGAGGCCTGGAAAAAAACCATATAAGCACACAAAATCTATAATGAGGAAGCATTTACACACCATGACGTAATATTCCTTGAATTTGATACCCATTCCATGCTTTCTGCCATAACTAGTTAACGTTCTCTTGTAGTACTCGTCAAGGTTTTCCATGGTTGGTAGGGAAGGAGAAAAGACAAGTTCTGGATTTGCTTTTACACCATATTCAAGGAAACTAAGAGCATTGACCACATCACTTATCAAGGGCCAAGCCGATGCTTCCTTTTGAAGGCACATAGTTGAAACTGCTACGTCTTGATTTAAGCCTCTAACTAGGCAATCTATGTATAAGTGGATTAGCTAATTCGGAAACCTATTTGGTTCCTTAAATATTGATTATGCATGTGTTACAGACTAGTCATGCTAATATGTAACCCCTAAGACTAAGTCTACTATAGTTAACAATAGGTTACTCATTGTGGGCAACATTCATATCTTATATGAGCTTTTTTTTCTAGTTTACTTTCCGTTGAATAGGTCTCTAGTTTGTTAGTTATTTCCTAGTATATTTCCTTCTTTTCGTTATAACTAGCCTATTTAATGTCAATACTAATGAATAAGAATTACAATTATTCTTCACATATTCTATTGATTGCTTTAACAATTATTAACTTTGTTTGTTATCTCTTTTCAAAATAGCTCATGTAAGGCAATGGATGTGTGGTCGAGGTACGGAGTTATGAAGATGATCGAGCACTTAACATCTTGATATCGAGCCGAGCATGGCCGACAAGACCATCGACTAGTGTTTCCTTTAACTTAAGCACCGACTTGAGAGTATTAGCAAACGAGATAAAGAAAATATTCTAGGTATTTTAGGCCAAGGAGGGATCCTTTACCAATCGACTTGGTTTGGTATAAAGCACCACTAATGGTGATGAGGCCAATGAAAATTTTGCTCCTAAATTGGTCAAGTTGGACTTTTCCTATTATATTAGGATCGAAGATCCCACACTCTAGATTTGTAAGGTGGAGCAATATTTTGACTTTTAGAACACTACTCTAGAATAACATATGTGCTTGTTGACCTACCATCTCGAAGGAGATGCCTAACTTTGGGCTTAGCACTAAAAGAATTTACACTCGGTACTCACATGGTGTGAATGGAAAGAGGGCCTATGAAACATTTTGGTATGCCCACTTATAAGAATTCATTTACCGATTTATGTAAGTTTAAATAGACTAATATTGTTTGTGAGTGTTAAAATTAGTTTGATAGGTTACTAGTTAGAGTCGGAACTCTAATTGATGAACAGGAAGTTGGGATTTTTCTTAGTAGCCTAAAAGAACAACTAAAGGCTAATGTATGGACCCAATGCCCTTCTACTCTAAATAAGGCCATTAAGCTAGCTAGAATCTTTAAAAGTCGAGCTATTAATACCCAAGAGCCATGGCTTGGTTCTTTATTTAGGCGACTCATTGAACCATGACCCACTAAAGTAACCCACAAAGAGAGTCCATTATGGACCGGGGCTAAAGGATTCACTAATCGGTCATCATCTCTCAATCCTTCTATTCTAATTTGATGATTCATAACCATGGAGCAAAAAAAATGACGACCGTAGGGGCTATACTTATATTATGATGATGCTTACATGGTAGGACATGGTTGCAGAAGCTCTTCTTCATTGAGTTAAAGCAAGAACTTGAGACTCTATCAAATTTTCTCCTCGAAGACATCTCCACCAAAGAACAAAAGGCAATAGAAATCTTTATCCGTAGCTTCACTAACGTTCTCACTCCTCATACCATATAGATAGGTACAAGAATCATAGGTCACCCTAACATGACCTTAATAGACTGTAGGTCCATTCATAATTTCCTACACAAGTGGGTGGCAAGGGTTACTAGCCTTCAAATTGAGTAAGGATCACCTTTAAAGGTAATGATTTCCTATGGAGAAAAACTCAATAGTGTGGGTCTTTGTTAGTAAGTACTCATAGTTCTTAATGATTCTATATTTTAAATTAATTTTTTATTATTGCCATTGAAGGGTTGTGATAGATTACTGGGAGCTTAGTGGCTTTAGACGAGTAGGACCTATATAATGGAATTTTCGAAGCATGGAGATGAAATTTACTATAGGATCTAGGAAGGTGACTTTAAAGAGACTTAAAATCCCCGATGCATAGTTGGTAAGGACCAAGGTAATGCAACCTACATTGTGGTAGACGCGAGGGCAAGGTACTTTACCGTAGATATCCCTAGTCTCTCATCATAATACCAATTAGTATAATGAATGGTAGAATATTCATCAAAAAATTTGTAGAGTTTTTTTACAAGGCAATCCGATTACGCCCAAGCCAAAATCATAACCATAAAATCCTGTTGTAGACGGGTAGCCAACTAATAAACGTTTGGCCTTTTTGATATCCTTATCGATGGAGGCCTCGCAAAGTGGTACAAGAGATAGAATCACCATCCGGCTAATCGAAAGAACTAGAAAACCCTAAACACTCTATTCTATACGGATATCTAGATAAGGAGTTGGTTAACGTACAAAAGATATAATATCACCATC